TACATTTCGTTCCACTTCACGATTGTGTCCCACTTGTTGTCGATTCATGACAAAAAATTGAAATTTTATATCTTTATGTTTGAAGCCTGAAATGTGGCGAAATGTTGAAAGGTTCAAGGGGGCCGAATACTTTCGCAAGGCACTGTATCTTAATTTTTTCCCCAGATCATTATTTGGGGGAAATGAGTTAAGTCGTGATGTTCTCATGTCTGAGAGAGAGACCAGGGAGTAAATGTATAATGTAAATGTGCACTTTATTACAGGGAAATTTGTCCCCTGCATTTGAGCCATCCTGATGCCACAAAGGCTTACATCAGGAGCAGTGGTCGCCGTGGTACATCGCCCGGGAACCCATCTCCAGATGTTGTTACTTGGCTTGGTCAGATACAGAGCTGGAGGATTCGACCTATTGTAAATGTTTTTAGTGGTAGGGGAAACCGGAGAACACAGAGGAAACCTACACTGGGAGAAAATGCAACCTCCACTCTGAAAGGCCCTGTTCCAATCAGGATTCGAACCCAGTACCTTCTTGCCGAAATGCGAGAGTGCTATAAACTCAGCCACGTGCCACCCAAACTAGAGAGACACCAGGGAGAGACAAGAGAGTGTGTGTGTGTGTCTGTGTATGTGTGTGTGTGTGTATGTGTGTGTGTCTATGCATGTGGATCCAGTTTCACGGTCGTTAAGATCACATTAGAACTGAGAAGCCTCTGCTGATGCAAAGTGTTTATAATGAACTGAAAAATCACATACAGACCAGACCTAGACCAGACCTAGACCAGACCCAGACCCAGACCAGACCCTGACTCACCTATGCACATGTCAGTGGGTGGACTTCTGCTGCAGACTCCATCTGTAACAGGACAGTGTTTATGTTAAAGCTCAGGAATCTTTTCTTTGACGAAAACTGTGAATGACAAAAACCGTTACTTTGATCTCTGCGGCCAACAGTGATGTGTGCATCTGTGGAGATCAACAGCTGATTGAACAGTTCCTCCCTCAGAGAGTTTATGTGAATAGCATGAGGAAGAGGCCTGTGTTTGTGCGACTCATGTGTTTTGTCGGGAGGGACGCACATTTATTGTCAAAATAGACTGATTTCAGGTGAGTGTATATTTTCTATAATTGTAAAAAGCGCTTCAAAGGTCCTGGGTTCAATTCAGGTCTTTCTGTAGAGAGTTTGCATGTTTGCAGACACCGAGAGTGTCTGTGTAGGTTCCCTCCAGGTGCTCCAGTCTCCATTTCGAAAAGACAATTACAAGATTTTTGACTTTTTGAGATTGTGTTCTGCACTTACTCCGGTCCTTCAAAATACAACTAAATATATTGATTTGTCTCGAAGTAAAACAAGGATTCAGACTGCAGAGGACGAGATGTTGAGAAACATTATTTTTGAAATCTGTATATATGTGTGACAGGAGCTTCTGAGTTTTTTGAAACATGTAAACGAGAATCAACAAACTGTAGACTGTTCTGCTCATTCATCTCAGTCAAAGCTCCATATTAGACCAGATGCCCTACCCTCAGTGTTACAGGGACCATGCTAGCATTCCACACACACATGTGTTAAGCATCATCTGCATCTGTATCGGTATAAATAGGTTAGCCTGGTTAGCAGCATTGGTTGCACTGGTTTGTTTTATGGCATTACAGCATATGACGCTAATTGGTGGCGTTTACTATTCATTCAGACAACACTGTTTAAGCCTGACTCGCACCCAACAGACTTTGAAGGCCGTGGTTTAGGCACATGTGACGGAAGCGCTGCGGCGTACGGCTCTCAGCTGAAGACGCAACAGAAAGAGACAGTACAATTACAGAATCTCGCGCTGAAAATATGCCTAATACATCCAAAAAAACAGGACTCACCTTGGTGCAAATGGGATTCTAAGATGCGCCTTCTCTCTCCTCTCCTCCTCTCTCCTCTCCTCCTCTCGCCTCCTTTCCTCTCCTCCTGCAGCAGCGGGCCTCAGGGATGGTCCGCTTGGCGTGTGTAGATCCGGTTCTCCTGGCTAGTCTTCATCATGATAATAATAATAATATTCGAGATAACGCAGTAGAGACGCAGGGCGGTGGGCCGGAGCACAGACCCGGGTGAACCTCAGGAGAAGGCGGTGCGGCTCCTCCGCTCATCGCGTCAAATGAATGAACAGAATGTGTTTTATTATTTATGAGACGTGGAGGCGTGTGCTGCTGTACGGTACACGCCCGGTTAACCGAGAACCGGGTCGACAAAAGCATTGGTATGTTTTACTGGTTTGACTATCTAGACATTTGGTTAATTTTGCGGCAAGGCAGGCAGGTGTATTTGTATAGCACAGTTCATACACAAGGATACAACAAGATAGACACAACAAGGCATTAAAAAAACAATCAAGAAAATCCCTCAGTAGTATGCTGGATTTGAACATTGCCAGAGAAGCCTGTCTCACACTTTCAGGAAGACTGTTCCAAAATTTAGCGGGATAAATCTGATATTTTAAGAAAGCTATTCTTTATATGCTGCTTTGAAACGTCTCGTAAATTACTGATTTACATCTCATAGATTTAAATAAATTATCTATATTCAACTATTGTTTATCTATTATCTATTTTACACTCGAAATTGTGAAACAAATCTGCTTTTATCTGCCGTTTCAAAGGCAGAAAGGGAATAATGGCTTTTTAACGTTCGTTACATTTCCTCATACAATAGAATTGACAGGTCCGTGATGGTGAGACAGTTATGGTCACCGCTTGCTTAGGTTGCGCTTGTTGTAAAAACGAACGCCTCAAATGGGTGTAAGATGTGTTAGATTGACAGAAGATTGACCCAATAGCTGAAAGGGAGTGTTGGAGTTGGGCCAATCAGAGGCTCCCATGTCATGCTTCTGTGTTGTGTTTCTGTCACAGGTTTTGTGCTAGATGAACTAGACTCATGGATCTATTATAGACTCCAGCCGCTCCAGGCGCCATGTTGTGATGGACTATTATGTTTATTTCTAAGATCAACACTTCTCTCAGAATTATCTGTTTTATTTAATCTAATTCACTCATAGAACACGAATTTACTACAATGTGTGTACAGTTGTTATATATATTAAACTGATTACGATTAAATTCTTTATTTTGTTCCAAAGTGGGGAAATTTCACTGTTGCATCACTAGTCACATAACAGTAGGAATAAGGAGCACACAGCACAATATTAATGAACAATAACTATACTGGGGGCCCCACATTGCAGGTCAGAACCTCAAACACAAAGTCCCTGGTTCTCACAAACTGGGGTCTGTCTGTGAGGTAGTCCACGGACTGCTGTCTCTGGCTTGTCCTTGAGAAGACATGGCTGGATGGTGTTGAAGGCGCTGGAGAAATCAAAGAAGAGGATCCTCACAGCGGAACAGGGCTTCTCCAGGTGGGACAGCAAATGCAATGCCCGGCCGGTAGGCAAACTGCAGCGGGTCCATCGCTGAGGTTAGAGTGGAGCGGACATGTCCCAGGACCAGTCTCAGTATCTTCATGAGGTGGGATGTCAAAGCCACTGGCCTGAAGTCACTGAGACTCAGGTTGAAGACGCGCTCCATTACTCCACAGAGGGGGGCCGGACCCCCAAAGAAAAATTTGAATAAGATTCAGATTTTTTTGTTTTTGCCATTTGCAGTAAAACCACAGTGAAAAACATTCGCTAAAGTCCCCAGTGTGCACTAGACAAGTAATTGACACTGTGAAATCGACTAAAACAGTTTCAGTACAAAGGCCAGATCATTAAGTGCTCTGTTTAAACTGATAACAGATTATGGAAAGAAGCTGTTAGCAAAACGAGATGTCCTGCATTGTTCATTGAGTTTTTCCAGGGCCAGAAGAGTCCTTGATTGTTATATATGTATATATATATATATATATATATATATATATATATATATATATATATATATATATATATATATATATATATATATATATATATATATATATATATATATATAGATGACAGAGAAAATAAGGAAGATGATGATAATAAAGTAAAATTATATATCTGGATCGTCGGGGCGGATCCAGCCTGCGGGCTGGGTGGATGATCAGTGGTTTAGAGAGAATAATCATTTCCATAAATCAAAGTAAAAATGTCAGCATTGGGGCAAATATGGACGTAAGTCTGTGTTCCAAACAATGAATTATCTACACGTTATTAGAGGCCATACCAGCAGGTGAAGGTAAAGGTGCACTCTATTAATCCCTGTGGGGCAATTCATCCTGTGCCTGATTACGTCAGGAGCAGTGGTCGCCGTTGTACAGCGCCCAGGAACCCATTTCCAGATGCTAATGCTTGGCTTGATCTGGACTACCAGAGCTGGAGGATTTTACTTAGTGCATGTTTTTAGTGGTAGGGGAAACCGGAGCACCCGGAGGAAACCTACGCATGAAACATGCTAACTCCACTCAGAAAGGCCTTGTTCCGACCAGGATTCGAACCCAAGCAAAGGTGCTATCCACTCAGCCACCGTGCAGCCCAAGCAATTCTGCAGCGCAAGCCAAATTGCAGCTCAAGCCACCTGTGAAAGGTAAGGCAGATCCTGTCAGACCTTTGAAGACATGTAGGACAGGGCCTGGTTAGTATTGTGATGTGTGTGAATGGTTGGTGGCAGTGGGAGGGGCTGATGGTAAAGACTGGTTGCTTTGCTTTGGTCAGTGTGCCCCAGGGCAGCTGTGGCTACAGTAAAGATTATCATCACAGTGTTTGGAGTGAATGATTGATGTGAAGTGTCTTTGAGAGTCCAGAGGAGTGCTTTATAAAACCGATGCATTATCATTATCATTACGTTCTATGATAATTCTTCTGTTTTGGATTTCCAAGATGGCCGCCGCCCCGCCATAACAGAACCCGCTCTCTCTCTTCACACAACCCTTTGGCTCGGAGTCAGTCATGGCTGCTTCGTTATGTTTCAAAAGGTTTTTTGTGTTTCTCTTCATCTGTCCGTTGTTTGCATCGGGCTTTTTGAATCTAGAAGAACTGAACGAGATGAAATATGGGATCCAGATCCTCCCGGACCCCGTAATTATGGGACAGGTGCGTGACGTCTAAAGCAGATTAGCATGTGATGCTAATGTTGTCACTTTCGTGCTGTGGGCTCTCTCGTAAAGTTGTGTTATTATTATTTGATTATTCGTCTCATATTTTATAGTTTCAAGGCCAAGAAAACACCAAGAACGTTTTATTTCCCGTTTTGTTAATGAATGACTGATCTGACAGTTGTTATGATAATCACTCGCATCTACAACTGCATCTTTAAAATAACATCACAGCAATAACATGTGACGTAGACACAAGGAATTATAATCTAGAATCATATTCACTTGGAAACAAGCCGCAGCATCTTTAGTTAATCTCTGGTTGCTAGGATTTTTAATGTACAACAGTGTCTGCTCAGAGCTGTTGTAGAGTTGTAGAAGACGAGACGGAGAGACACCATTATTTACACATAGTCTGTTATCTACATGTCGAATGCACCTACAAAGTGAATGTATTTCTCTTTTTATGGCATGTCATTGATATGAGGCGAAATCTATTTAATGCCAATTCAATGTATTTGTGTTTCACCCTAAATCACAACAGCAGTCGCCTTTGGTGTAGTTTACAAAGTACTCACTTTGTCAAAAAAAGGCGGCGGGGGCCTCGCACCAAATCTACGCAATGTTCAAGTCCAGGTTAAAAGCAATACTGATTGAAACCTTTACTCTTTTTAATGCACTGTGATTGTTTATGGTTTTAATGCCTTGTGTGATCGTTTCTATCTTGTTTTGTTAAAACACTTTGAGTTCCCTGATGTATGAACTGTGCTATTCAAATAAAGCCGCATTGCCTTACAGTGTCCTGTTTTTCTGTTTCTGCCCTGAACCTTCTCTGCTGCAGACTCAGACTGAGGAGGTGATGCTGGTGTCAAACAAGTTCAAGCAGATGTATGAGTGCCGTCTGCCCGCTCAGGCCGTCCGCTTCCATCAGGACTCATCCTCAGAGACGGAGACAGATACCTACAGCGGTCCAGACGTCCCAGTGCTGCTCCAGCCAATGCAAGACGCCCCCTGTCTGCTCAAGGTCAGGAGTCAAGAACCAAGAGGCCAAAGAGTACAGAAGTACCAAGGATGAGGCTGTGGACCCAGGCCTGAGGCTGTGGACCCAGGCCTGAGGCTGTGGACCCAGGCCTGAGGCTGTGGACCCAGGCCTGAGGCTGTGGACCCAGGCCTGAGGCTGTGGACCCAGGCTTGAGGCTGTAGTATGCAGAATCAATGGATTTTGGTCATTTTATTATTTCTGAAACTTAAAATGTTGTCACTCTTCTGCTCTCTGTAGACAAAGGACTGGTGGACCTACGAGTTCTGTAACGGAAAACACATAAAGCAGTACCACATTGAAGGTTAATGACTCTAAACTAAATACAGTCATAATAACAAATGCAATTTCATTTAATATTTTTTTTTCGTCATAGACACAGAAGTGAAAGGGGAGGTTCTGTTCCTGGGTTACTACGAGTCGGACTTTGACTGGACCAATGAAACGGCAAAGGTACACAGAGCACCACAGAGTCCTCCTCTGTCATCATAGACTTTATATCAGGAGTGTGACATCACTGCCGTTTGACATCGCTGCTGTGCAGTGACGACATCAATGCCATGTGATATCACCGCAGTGTGACGTCACCACAGTGTTCGTCTTGATGCAGAAATAACCAATTTCAAGCTGGAGCCAGTTTGGGACATTTGTTCGGATGGCGTTAGCGTCAGTAAACAAATGTTCTGTAAATACGCACACAAACAGGCTTTAGTTTTCTTGCTTAATCAAAGTAAATTACAATCTTTAATTAATAATAATGATGTACTTTATTCACAGGCCTCAAAGCAGCACAAACTGAAACGCTACCACAGCCAGACCTACGTCAACGGCTCCAAGTGTGACCTGAACGGGGGCCCTCGAACGGCGGAAGTCCGAGTAAGGCCTGAATGCTGTAGATTCATGTGGGACTCATGTGGGACTCATGTGGGACTGAGGCGGGACTGAGGCGGGACTGAGGCGGGACTGAGGCGGGACTGAGGCGGGACTGAGGCGGGACTGAGGCGGGACTGAGGCGGGACTGAGGCGGGACTGAGGCGGGACTGAGGCGGGACTGAGGCGGGACTGAGGCGGGACTGAGGCGGGACTGAGGCGGGACCTCTTGAAAATAACTAATACATGGGCATTGCATCTTACCATTAACAAAATGAGCTTCACATACAGTACTCTTTCTGTTAATCCCAGAATCCAGGCTTCCGTCTCCTGATAGCCCACAGAACGAATTTCTCGCGTTTTATGCTGTTCTTTTCCAAAGGAAATTGAAAAAAACCCAATACTTTATTTGGCCTCCAGCAGACGGTACAACCGACCACACAACAAGAGTGGACCATTTGATTTTGTAAAACCTATAAACCAAACGTATAAAACTGTCTCTGTAGCATCTAGGTAGCAGTTGCTACTTTTTTGCTACCCTGTCACATGATCTGCGCATGAAAACTATAAACAACTTGACTCAAAGGTCCTCCTATATAGTCTGATTCCTCTCTTCTCCCACTCTACAGTTTGTGAGTGATCTCCCTCTCGTTTCCCACTCTCTCTTGACAGTTTGTGTGTGAGGAGGCCTCCTCAGACTTCCTGTTTCGTGTGGATGAGCCTCAGTCATGTCGATACGTACTGACGGTCCACACGTCTCGCACCTGTTTACACCCGCAGCTGCGTCCGCCCAGCGCCAAACTGCAGCCCATTGTGTGTCGCGCCGCACTCAGCCCCCAGCAGTACGAGGACTACACCAGACTCTGTGAGTCTCTACTGTACTCTACTCTACTATACTGTACTGACACTACGCTAAGAACCAACTTTGTGTGACACTGCTACATGATAATGCATCAGTTTTATTCAGTGCTTTTCTGGACGCTCAAAGATGCTTCACATAATTATTAATTACTACTACTGTAGCCACAGCTGCCCTGGGGCACACTTACAACCAGTCTGTGCCATAATCCAAAAATAGGATAAAACTAGACATTATTTGAGAAAGTATAAATACTAAATAAAATTGCATCGTTGTAAACTTTCCATTTTACATTTTTGGATACATATTAAAGGTGCCATATTACGCTTTTTGACTTTTATCTTCTTTAAACATCATTTGGCCTTTGTACACATGCCCAGAGAAGTTTTTTCATTGCTTCCTTTAAGCGTTAATTAGAGAGCAATTTCTCTTTTATTCTCGAGAGGCAGCGCCCGGGTCCACATCTACATGTTGACAAATATGACGTGCAGAAGCCCTTATTATTATTTTTTTTATAGTTCTTAAATAATTTTGTCAAAACAGGAAAAACAATACACAACAAATATGCTGTTTGTTGTCAAAATAATGTATAAATGATAAATAATAATACTAGAATCCGGTGCACTGTTTCTCCCTTGTCAGTCTATGGTTTGGTCCCACGTCCACCACATGGAACTTTACTGTTTTTCTAAAGTGTTTGGATCATGTGAGTTTGGAGAAAATTTGTTTTTGGTGTAAATCTGTGACTCACTATTTGGCCCTATTTTTACTGCAAATGGCAAATAAACTGAATCTGAATCAAAGAGGAAGAAGGCGGCTCAACTTTTTCACAGTAATCTGCTTCTAAAAACTCCCAACGAATCTGTTCATCTGCGACATTTCACTAAGGCCCTGTTTAGACGGAGGCGCTATGCAGAGTACGTTGTAAAGCAAATAACAGAAACGACTAGGCTCCTTGGGCCCGTTTAGACGGAGACTATGCGTCAGTAAAACGCTATAGTTGGATGACGGTTGCTACCCTTCGTTCACATGGAGACTGTGTTCCAGGGGGGTGAAAATGTAAGAGTTAAGATCCAGCCTGTAAAGTGTCAGATACCCTAGGATGAAAAATTATGTACTTCTAGAGCCTGACCAGTAGCGGGCAGATGACAACACCATACAGCGACCCCAGCCCCCCCAGCAGTATATTCACTTCCTCAATAACATCCTCCTCGGACCACCGCAAAGACATGAAAAAATGCACCAACATCTTCTGCATTTAATAGCAGCAGCAAAAATGGAAACTGAAACTACAGCTTTCGTTTGGACGAACGAAGGAGTAGAATTCATGTCCGTGTAGCGCTCGAAGCACACGTAGCTAGTTGGTGTACCTGCCGCCATTGTTGTTTTCGTTTGTTCTCGGCTACTGCGCATGTCCAAATGTTCGTGCAGGGAGCAGCGGGGAGATGGAGGGCATAGCAGGCGGAAAATTCACACCTCTTTCTTCAAGCGGGTGTGAAGGAGCGCCCCCCTGAGCAGCGTATCTGAGGTGTCCCACTCTGTAGGCTGGATCTTAACGTTATCACCCCCCCTGAAACAGTTTCCATGTAAACGGGAGGTAGCAACCGACATCCAATTATCCCGAAGACTGCCGCAGCGTCTCCGTCTAAACGGGGCCTAAGACTGTTCCAGAACTACAATACCATGAAACTGGACTCAAAAATGGATCTGAAAATCAATGTTTTTTATTCCCGCAATAATAGGCGCTAGCACAATGCCCCGATCTGTATGTACAGTGCTACTAACTCACTTTAAACTTCTGTAAACTATATAATTAGGGTCTGATTCTGGAGGGGGGAGGCGGGCTCACAGAGCAGCAGACTCCTCTCTGGATCAGCCTGTTTGAGTCAAGGTGACATCATCCTGGCCCTATGCAAGAGATGGCTATAATCTCACATGTTTTGAGTTCTTTATGGGGTATCACTTCATAGGATGGACTGTGAAACATGAAGAGCGTGATTTGAAACCTTTTAAAGTATATCTGGTTCAGGACTACAGAGTTTGTTTCAAATCATGACGATTAAAGTTTGTAACCTGTGGTTCTCCTGAAGGATCTTTCAGAAACATGAGCTTCCTGTTTCTGTGACAGTAAAACCATCAGATCTCTCTCTCACATTCTTGGTTTTTCTTCCCTGTTTCTTGTCTCTTGTGACCATGTGTGTGAACCATGTGCTTGAACCAGCGGACACAAAGCAGAGAGTGGAGCAGATCTCTGAGGAGCTGAAGAGTCTGGACCAGATCTTGGGACGGGACCATGAAGACACAGAGGGAACCAGGAACACACCAGAGTCCACAGAGGACGAGACGCTGGCCCAATACGGTAATGCAGTAGACTTTCAAACCAGACTTTCAAAGCACAATACAAGGGAACTACAGTATGTCAGGAAATGTCTCTCTTTCTTATAACACTGTCCCCCTATCTACACTGAGGTCCACAAGTATTTGCACACCCTGCAAGTTCGGCAGAGATCTGAAATGGTCATCATAGATATATTTCTACTGTTAGAAACATAATCTAAAAAAAAAAATCCAAAAATCATGAATGGATGGATTCAGTAACAACACGGTGGTGCAGTGGTTACAGCTAGAAGGGCCTGGGTTCAATTCCACCTCCTGGCTCCCTGTGTCTGTAGGTTTCCTCCGAATGCTCTGGTTTCCCCATAACTAAAAACATATACAAAATAGGTATGAATGTAATGAGAGGTGGGATACATGGTGATGTCTGAGGTTCCAGTGTGTTCGGCGTCTCGCTTTTGTCATCGCTGTGTCAGTTTTCTAATCTGTATAGCACTTTTTGTGACCTTGGTCTGTGAAATGTTCCATTTAAATAAACTCTTCTTACGTACAGATTCCATGGAAGCGTCCCCTGAGGAGGAAGACGCAGACTTCTGGGCCGGCGTGACAAAGAAGAAAATGTCTCCGAAATCACAGGTAAAGCTTAGCTTAGCTTAGACCTGGGTTGGTCAATTCAGCAATGATGCTGTTGACAGAGTGGGACAGTCTGCACATGCACCTGTACATGAGAATGCGCAGTACAGCAGGACAAGTGGGCACACCTGCATTCACAAACATGTCACTGGCACTGCTCCATCATGGGACTGTCAACAGAATCCGTATGGATGCTCTTTTTATAGCACCTCCACAGGTGGGTCATATACATGGGAGTGCAATTGGACTTAAAACCACCCTGTTTAATTTTTACACTTGCTCCATGTTAACATGTTAACTAATAACCAATGTGACCTTTTTAAGAACATTTACCTCCACCATGTTTTTGTAATTGTTCTCATAGGCTTAGAATTCAACTTATAAATGTCCAAAAGAGAGGAGTGCTCTCCATGTCAAAGCACTCTTGAAAAACAGTGGTGGATAAGGGACAAAAAGGATGCGAGAATTGTGTTTTTGTTTCTACTGCTACTGATATTGTTGCTTTCACCGTGCCTTCACAAGTTTGAAGAAGGAACCATGGAAGATCACAGTTATGTAAAAAAAACAACCCGAACAACAATCTTAAAAAATTATTATGCAAAAGCCTGACGTTATACAGTAGCAGCAAACTGTCAACATCGCAAACCACACACACTGAAACACAGCGTTAACAGCCGGCACATTGTGTAGTTTGTACACAAGACTCACATGTGAACAATACGTAACTTTTTCACACTTACAATAATAAGAACGAGGCAGAATCTGCAACACAGTTTCAGGATGATCTCCATGCGTCTCTTCTCTTCACACTGCGTTTGTAAAACTATCTAATAATAAATCCATGGTAAAACTCAGTAGAGCCTCTGTGCAGCGGGTGTCGCTTCAGCCTCCACACGACTGTCAAGTGGCCGAGACGTTTGGAGAGATCCAGTCATTTATCAAACTACAGTATTCTTTCCTTGGCAGTCTGTGAATGACTGAGAGTTGAGGAGCACTGTCAAGGACAACATATGGTCTTTTGAAGTACTTCCGTAGTACCCTGGACTGCAGTATATGATCTCAACACTTGACGGCAGTAAAAACTTTAAAGCTTGTGCACATGCCAAAGATTCCGGTTGTCTCATCCAGCTCCCATCCTGACACCTGCATGTCCCACCTCCTTTTTGTATGGTTTGGTTTGGTTTGGTTTAGTTGCTTGGTCTGGTTTGGTTCGTTTGTTTTGGTTTATTTTTTTACAGACCATACAACACTGCAGACATATGCTCACAGCACAGCACTCGCAAGCACTCACTACAGACTTCCACAACTCATTAAAACATTAACTTTGGTTATCAATAAATATTATTTCAATTGACAACTGTTGTTTGGCGTGTTTCTGTAATTTCTACTGAGCCGGGTTATGACACTATACAGTGTACCTTTTAAAGAGTCTGAGGCCCCGTTTAGACGGAGACGCTACGGCAGTAAAACGCTTTGATTGGAGGTCGGTTGCAACCTCCCATTTACATGGAGACTGTAGGCTGGATTTTAACGTTTTCACCCGCCTGAAACACAGAGTGGGACAGCTCACAGAGTAATGCTACTATATCATTATCACACATGAACAATGACATTACTCCTGTTTTTAAAATGGCTTCATCTTGGTTTGTGTCTCCAGGAAAACAAGGATAAAGAAATTAACGAAGTGATAGAAGACGGAGATGAAGGTAAAACATGTGAGAATGTCACACACTGCAGTGATGTCACACACTGGGCTCTACTCTACTTAATTCACACATATTCTCTGTAAAAGAAAGTGTTCCCACTGATATACATTTTAAAGTATGAGACTTTTTGGTGCTCTGCTAAAATGGTTCAAGACCTCTGTATCTGGTACCGTATCCTAGCAACCTTCCAACAACAAACCAGCATCCAGGGAAATTCCTTGGTAACCATATCTTCCAGCAGCACTCTGACCAATCACTGTAGAACACTTTAGTACCAGTTTGGCCTAGATAGAACCAGGACCAAGAGGGACTAAAGAAGGACCTGCTACTGGTTACACAGGTCTGTAATGGATTCTGTGTTTGTGCCAGTGGAGCAGTTCAACTTTAAGATTATCTCGGACCCGGCGGACCTCATGAAGTTTGTGCAGCATCTGAAAGAAAGCAATAAAAAAGTAGGTCTCTCCTATTTTTATACTTTTACAACAATATTTAAACTAAACTATTGTTTAAGCTTGTATCAATACTGTTTATAATGATAACTGAACTGAGGCCGTAGACCCAGGACTCCAGGACTGAGGCCGTAGACCCAGGACTCCAGGACTGAGGCCGTAGACCCAGGACTCCAGGACTGAGGCCGTAGACCCAGGACTCCAGGACTGAGGCCGTAGACCCAGGACTCCAGGACTGAGGCCGTAGACCCAGGACTCCAGGACTGAGGCCGTAGACCCAGGACTCCAGGACTGAGGCCGTAGACCCAGGACTCCAGGACTGAGGCCGTAGACCCAGGACTCCAGGACTGAGGCCGTAGACCCGTAGACCCAGGACTGAGGCCGTAGACCCGTAGACCCAGGACTGAGATATTAACAAATATTGTGGGCTATTCATATTTTAATCATATTATAACAATGTTTTGTTTTATTGTAGAAAGCTCAGAAACAACTGGAGAGACAGAATAATGTTGTGGAGGAGGAGCCAGACGAGGATGAGCAGGTTCTGCAGGAGTTTAAGGAGGAGATGTCGGACCTCACGGTGTCAAAGGATCAAAGAGACGGAATCAAAGAGGAAATGAAGAAGGAGTTTGACAACATCATAGACGAGGTCAGAGACGAGCAGAGGAACCTCTAGACTTTTACAGACGCTTCGGTCAAAGCTGGGGTACCTAACTTTCAAATCACAATACAATGGAACTACAGAATTTCAGGAACTTTCTCCTTCTCTCTCTATCTCTCTAGTTCTATCGCTATGTGTCTGTCATCTTTCCTAGCTTCATACAGTACATATGACCAGTTGTGGATGGCAGGTCCACAGCTGGTAATGCTTCTCCTCAAGACTCTCGTCAGTGTGTTTTAGTGTTAGCTCTCGCTTCTCACTCTTGGGTTGGAATCCCAGTCGGAACAGGGTCTTTCTGAGTGGAGTTTGCATGTCCTAGTGTCTGTCCAATTCAATTTATTTGTGTATAACCCTAAGTCACAACAGTAGTTATCTCTGAGGACTTTACACACCTGTCGATTCTCCAACACAGAGAATCAAACAAATCAAACACAGGAAATTAATGTGTAAAAGCACATTGGTCCATAAGCATGGTGCACTGTCTCACCTGAGGTTAAGTACCATGATTATTGCCTCATGCATGAAATGTGCTATACAAATAAATAGTCCCATGAAATCAAAGTCCTTGTTTGTCCTTTAGGCACAAGAAGAGTTGGAAACGGAGGGTCTTAAAGGGGAGTTTGAGCGCTCGCAGGCCACGCAGGCTTTAGAGACCACACTGGACAAACTGCTCCATCATCTAGAAGAGAAGGAGGAACCAGAGCAGGAGTCTGCACCAGGGAGCGCTCCAAGAGGCAGCGACCCCACCCGAGGGAGCCCTAGCCTGGCCCCCAAACACCCAGGTAAGAACCCTGATCCTGAAGACTGAGACTGACGACTCATTTTGATGCAAATAGAATGTACAGTTCAGTTAAAGCTGGGGTCCTCCACTTTTGTGATTTGTTTAGAATGCTTTTGTCCCAACAGAACCACAACAAGCATCTTCTCTTGTTGCATATCTTTTTGAATCCTTGTGATGAGAAATATGTGTGACAGACACATATGGAAGCTTGGTAGCTTTTATGTGGATTTGAGCGCCCTCACGCAAGATGAAATCGTATCTTATTGAAAATATATGATAATATAGGGCTAGGAAGCATCTACTTGCTTAGAGAAGCAGCCATTTGCAGATCTAGTGTGTGTCAAAACCCTGAACACATTTCAGATATCGATGTACAATGACATACTTAAAGAATTAATTGATTCAAGCAAATCTTCAACGCAAGCTAAAAAAATAGTAAGACCTTGTTGGATTGCTCATGTGGCTGATATTCATAGGAAAGCATGTGAGGCGTCCAATGAGTGGATACTACAGGGGAGACCAAGAAATGGGCCAGTTTTTGAGCACAGAAGGCTCACCAAGTATGCGATTCGCTTTATAGCAAAAAATTAGCAAGTAATGAAAGCTGACTCAATGGCCAGAAAGCTTGATGAAATAATTAGACCAATTGTGCTGGCCAGTATAGAATCTAAAATCTTTGAAGCTATGCTATTAGGCAAGATTTCCTAATTGATTACATCTTCAGAAAGCCAGTTTGGTTTCAAGGCTCAGTTGGGCACAGATTTGTGCACATATCAAAATTACTCAGTTTTTACTTTCTTTCTGAATGCGTCCAAAGCTCTCTATAGGGTTGACCATAAATGGGGGGGGTCAATGGGGTTAGACAAGGGGGGATTCTGTCCCCAATTCTCGTTTATCTTTATATAGACTAACTCTCTATGAGGCTTAAAGATTATTTTCATAACACATTCACCCCCGTCATAAACCACTTTAATATTGCCTCTTTTTGGCAATTTGAAAGTTAGGTACCCCAGCTTTAAAATTATGAATCAACTGTATGAGCTGCTTTAGGTTAACGTTTTAATGTGAATGTTTAAGTAGCTTTTTAAAGCACCATCATATATTTTCACTCTTTTCAAATCATTATTCTTTGTTCTGTGTTGAGTCATTGTCGTCATTCACAACATCCTCCTATTTTTGCTCATATCATTTGTTTTAACATACTTTTATGTCAAGCTCCAGAAAATGTCACTCAACGCTTTAGTCGCCTGCTTTTGTTTTCTCAGTGTAAAAAACTCTTAAATCAAAGGTTGGATGAGAGCCTTTATTTGTCCCACAGTGCGGAATATACTTTGTTTATAAAGCACTTTTGAGTTTCCAAAGTTCTGCTCAGAAAATTGTACCTACATCAAGTCAAAAATATACCGGAAATATATGAAATACGGACAAACAATACAAATAGAAACAAGGCAATAACATGAATTTGAATTGAATTATTTATTTCAAACCTGCACAGGAAACAAAATTTACAAATGTTCAGACCTATGTTCAAGGTTTGAAAAGGGGGATGAAGCATTTAGCCCAACCCTCTCACCCATTTTAAATACTATAGTATGTAATCAATACTAGAATAGATAAATGGAAGACAGGGGCCCAGAGAAGACAGAATAAATGTAACATTTATATGCGTGACCCCTCTTGTCAATCTAGTACAATTATTAATGATTAATTTTTATTAGAAAATGGATGGTTTAATTAAATACAATTTACCTCTGGTCCTGCTTTATATTAATCCAAAACATAAAAACCGGTGCAAAAGTGAACATTTTACATAAGAAACTGTTTTCGTAAAGTCTGAGGGCGATTGGAGAGAGAGATCAACGAGAGAGGGAGAGGAATAGTGACAAAGACTTAGTTGCATGTGTTGTATTTTGAGTTATCACACACTTCCTGCTTCAGACTGTAATTGTGTTCAGTATGAAAATGTCCGAGTGAAGCCCTGCTGTGCTGTGGAGGTGACTGTTATGTTGTGTTTCTGTGTCGCCTCAGACCAAGCAGCAGAGGATCAAGTCAAAATCAAAATAACTAAATATAAAGCGGGCAGCAGGCCTGGCGACGGGCCGCTGCGAGTGCAGGAGCTGGCAGAGGCAGACCCCCAGTGGAGACACATAAAGGACGTGGTTAAAGAGCAGCTAGAGAAGGCAGGACTCAAGGCCGAAGGTACTCAAGGCTGTCTCATCATCCTCTATCTCCTTCTCCCTCCTCCTCGTCCTCATCACATTGTTTCTTTAATCATTGTTGTCTTTTATTTTCAAACACACAAGTTCAATAACAGACGGTATATTTTAATCTCTGTTTATAGTCTGTAAATGTCCTCTACAAAAGTGAACACACACTATTTTTTTCATAGCACAACTCTTACCTGTTTACAGAGGCAGGGTTCACAGCAGGAAACGGCAGCAGTTTATAATCCAGAAAATAATGTACATTCGTAAATAAAAGTGAGGAAAAGTGAAATGACCTAATGCTTGAAAGGTTGCTCACCCATCTTTCTGTACTTCAGTTAGCAGGTTTTCTGACATTTTGTTCTTAGTCCAAAGAACTTTCTCAAGGAAATGAAAACTCAGTTGCGAGTAGGGTTGTCAACCGTCCCTTGAAATACGGAATTGTCCCGTATTATAGAAAAACTATGTGCGTCCCGTATTGAATGGATACGGGATGGCTTTTGTCCCATATTTTCAGAGCCACCTTAAATGACGCACGCACGCACGCACGCACGCACGCACACGACTAGATTCGGACTTCCGAGGTCAATAGTTCCTGAAAGCTACTCTGTTAAAAAAAAAAAGTTATTGTGCTAAAATGATCACATCTACGTTGATTTTTCATATCCAATGCGCTGTTTTAATGCAGAGAAATCCATTGAATCCAATGCACTGCAAGCGCCGAGAAAAGCGCTTACGGAGCGTCAACAAATGTTTACATTTTTAATTATTTATATAGTGCATTTTACAGACCAAGGTCACCCAAAGTGCTTTACAATGTTCAGAGTTCAGATATAGTTCCAATCATTCCACACGCGGTGATGACGGAAGCGAGTCGCCGAACACACTGCCGCATCAGCCCCCAACCAACACCATCCATTCACTCTTTTACATTCATTCCTATTGTGCATGTTTTTAGTGGCAAGACCAGCTTTGTAAACGAACAATAGCTTTTACTGTAGCCATGTACCTGCACTAAACTCTCAGACAATATAAATAATGACCATATCTAACTGCTACAGACTTTGATTTCAACATTTGTTGTTTATGTTTTTCTTTTTTATTTGCTTTTACAGTAAATGGTCTTTACTGTATCATTCATAAATAATGAATGTTACAGCATTTGTCTTTTTTATATTTTTTATTAGTAATAAGAATGCATTAAGTCCTCAACCAGCCAAAGAGTTCCACCTATTAATTACATTTAATTTTTGACTAAGGATTTTTTTTTTTAATATGTAGTCAATAAATTACATACTAAAAACTGTGATTATGAAATACCATGATTACTGTGTAGATTGAAATTAGGACTAAAAAGTGCTCAAACCGATCCACCCAACTGGTGTCCCTTATTTTTCGGTTCTCAAGTTGGCAACCCTAGTCGCGAGTTGAAGCTCAATAACCTGAGGGAGTGGTTAGCCACCCCCTGGTCCTGAGGCTAACACAGAGTACAGAGGAGTTACACAGAACTTTGTGGACTGGTGTCAGCGGAACCACCTCCTCATCAACGCGGGGAAGACCAAGGAGATGGTGGTGGATTTCGGCAGACGTCACTCTGCTGCTCCAGCTCCAGTGAACATCCAGGGAAAGGACATCGAGAGAGTGGACTCTTACAAGTACCTGGGTGTTCCTCTAAACCACAAACTGGACTGGACTCATAACACAGACGCCCTCTTCAAGAAGGGCCAGAGCCACCTCTACCTGCTGAGGAGGCTCAGGTCTTTTGGAGTGCAGGGGCCACTCCTGAAGACCTTCTATGACTCTGTGGTGGCATCAGCCTCTTGTACAGTGTGGTCTGCTGGAACAGCAGCATCACAGAGAGGGACAGGAAGAAGCTGGACAAGGTCATCAGGAAGTCCAGCTCAGTCCTGGGCTGTTCCCTGGACACAGTGCAGCAGGTGGGGGACAGGAGGGTCCTGAGCAAACTAACATCTATGCTGGACCATGACTGTCACCCCCTGCAGGACACTCTCTCTGCTCTGGAGAGCAGCTTCAGTAGCTGCGTTTCCATTGAGCATCAAATTTCGAAATTTGAATTTGCGCATCATAAAATGTCTAATGGAAACGCGCAAATTTCGAATAAACCAGTTTTTCGATAAAAAGTTAATGCGCTTAAAATCGGTGGTTTTTTGGACGTATCGAAATTAAGTTTTTCGCAAAACGGCAATGGAAACACTTATTTCGATATAGCGGTGGAAGCCGAGCTGAGCTTTATTCAGTGAGTTTTGGCTGCGCTTCGTGTGGAGACTTGGGAGATACGTGGGAGATACGTGGGAGAGGCATGGGGGAGAGACGGGGAAGAGGCATGGGGAAGAGGCATGGGGGAGAGACATGGGGGAGAGACACGGGGGAGAGACACGGGGGAGAGACATGGGGGAGAGACGGGGGAGACAGGCAAGACCCGTGTCTATGGTTCTGTGCGCGCTCGGTACAATGACCACGCGCGTTCGCGGAGCTGTCAAAGCAGCCACAGTTTCTCCCGGGGTCAGAGAGGATGAGAGCCGCAGCAGAAGTCAAGACATTAATATATCTCACGTAAATCAAAGTGTTGTTTACTTCTGTTGCCATGTTGACGTACTAGAAAGTTAAACTAGTGAATAAACGCGCGAAAATAGTGTATACTTATTTGAATATGTCTTAATGGAAACGGCCGCTTTTGCGAATTACAGGTTTTTCGAATTTTGAAATGTATCGAAAAAGTTTTTGCGCATTATTCAATGGAAACGCAGCTAGTGACAGACTAATTCACCCTCGCTGTGTGAAGGAGAGGTTCCGTAGGTCTTTCCTTCCTGCTGCTGTCAGACTGTACAATAAGAACTGCTGAGCCTGTAAATTTCATTCATCTGTAATTAAGTAAATTCTTAAATCATGTGCAATACTGCTCCTTCAGAATGTCACAGAACAATGTCACTTTACCTCATGTCACTTTACTTATCTACTTATTATCCTGCACTATTTAACTGTACAGTATATAACTGCACTACTACATGTATATTTTGACTGGTATTGAAGCATTTTCAGCATCTACAGCTAGTTATGTTAGCTAAGAAACATAGCTACTACTTATTTGTATATATTGTGTGTGCTCCCTGTGTGCTCTTACTACTGTCCTATTTGTGCGCTGCAACATCAAAATTTCCCCACTGTGGGACGAATAAAGGAATTCTTATCTTATCTTAAAGTCAGCTAAGATGTGGTTGGGAGCAGGTGTTACGACCCTCACTCATTAGCATGTAATGAGTTAGGATCGTTAGACACATGTTTATTGTCTAATTAGATGAAAGTGAGGGTGTTATGGAAGCTAACGGTGAATGTATCACGGAACGGTGAAGCTGTTAAACTCCTCGTCTTTTAATCATGTTGCCACATTAAACATAACCTGCAGCTCATATTCAGGTGCGGCTTATACACAAGTGTGTCTTGTGTTTATTTACTAAACACAAGACTATTTTACTAATTTAATGTAGATTTTTGCAAAAATTATATAAAATGCCATTTTTAGAAAACAAAGCTGTAGCTGTTCACCTTTCATCTGTTTCACTTCCTGCATCTGTCAGTTTACTTTTTCTGCACCAGCTCTAACCTCAGCTATAACCTCAGCTTTAATGTCAGCCCTAAATTGTGTGTTCCAGGTAAAATAGAAGTAAAGATCCTGACCCGGAAGAACACAGATGATACAGATGGAGATCAGTGGCTGACGGAGGAAGACACCAAGTCTTTCAGAGAACTGCTCATTAACCTCCTGGTAACCACTGTCCACACTGCTGCTACAGGGATAGCACTGCTTCTAATCAGATAGCACTGCTGCTACAGGGATGGGACTGCTGCTACAGGGATAGGACTGCTTCTAATCAGATGGCACTGCTGCTATAGGGATAGCACTGCTGCTACAGGGATAGCACTGCTGCTACAGGGATAGGACTGCTTCTACGGGGATAGGACTGCTGCTACGGGGATTGCACTGCTTCTAATCAGATAGCACTGCTTCTACAGGTATAGCACTGCTTCTAATCAGATAGCACTGCTGCTACAGATGGCTCTGATTTTAACTCTGCTTCTACAGGGATAGCACTGCTTCTAATCAGGTAGCTCTGCTTCTGCAGGGATAGCTCTGTACTTTAGCATAATGAAAAAGCAAGTAGGTCCTGTATATTCTAGGGCAGATATAGTTGTATGTTTACATGTTAGCATCATGAGGCTCTGGGACACTGGTCTGTGATCATTGCACATGTGGTTATTGCACATTCTTACAGTGTGATTATTGTGGCTGTGGAGTTGTATATAACCCATAATGTATTTGCATTTATAGTTTGTTTATGAATGTATAACATGTATAGACGCTGATGTCCTCTAGGGGGCATGAGTGTCTCTTTGACCCTGGTGTCTTCGCAGACCGGTGGCACTGAGGAGGTTTATCGGGAGCAGAAACGGCTGCAGGAGCTGGAAGAGAACTACAGGTTTGTTTGGGGCCAGACGCAGGACGAGGGCCAGACCTCCTCCGACTCTGAGGACGTGGATCTGTGAGCCCCAGAACCCCAAAGACTTAAAGAGTAACTCCTGTGGAGACCAGACTGTGAAAACTGCCTCAGAAAGGACCAGCCCTGGGTCAATGTGGCAGAACATTCTAGGTCATGTACTTGGATTCAGGATTGTATTTTGGGTTATGAGGTTCTTCTATTCTACTACAGAGAGTAAAGAAGCTAGTGTTGCTTAACTGCCACAGCTTTTGATTCAGTTCAATTTATGTATTGCCCATTATCACAGCAGCGGTCGTCTCGGAGGACAAAGAACAGAGAGAATCAAACAGTTCAATCCCATAGAGGGCAGCATGACCACTGAAGTTAATACATGTTAATAAATGTCAATAAAAGAGGACTCTATGAAAGACAAGGCTAAAGGCTAAACCGTTACCACTCTGGTCTGTTATGTACAAGTCCAGACTCCAATAACAGACTTTAGGAATATCGCATTTTTTTGTCTAACTTTAACACATTTATCTGCACTGCTGCTCATCAGTGATTGTTAAAGTCTGCCACAATATGATGCAAACCACGTGTATACTGTAAGAGTTTAAGGTCATTCTCCAATCATCAGAACCATTTTTTAAAGATAGCAGTGTGAAATGTTCAACAATGAAAGAAATCTGTCACAAATCTATGATTGTCTTTATCTGTTGGAAGAAGATTGCAGGTCTGTTTTAGATAATTGTCTAATGCAGCAGTTGAACTTTTCTTTTGTACAAAAGGAAGAAAACTTTGGTCGCTGAGTTGCTCATTTGTTTATGATGCACTTTTCGCAGCTTAATGCCAATGGCTACTTATTTAATTTCTTGAGTTTTTTCTGCATCTGCATTTATTTAATAGAATTCATGTGGTTTTAGTTCTGAACTTTAGAATCCAATGTAATTCATGAGAGATTTGACAAGAGCGGATGCCGAGCCAGGTCCCAGCCAGGGCCGAGCTTAATAAGTGTTTACCTTTGAACGCGACTCACTCTACATCGAAGGGTTTTTAAAGCAGATTTAACTTGGTTCTTTGTATTCTCTGTTTGGATTTCATTGTAAATTCAACAAAAACACTTTGTTGCCCAAACACTGTTTTTAATTTATTAAAACAAGCACAGTTTTACACTAGTGTTCCTTGTGTATTCTACGAGCGTATGTAGATGGACAGTGCTAACCTGCAAGCTCAATGAAACCCTTTATGGAAGTGCTCATGGACAAAGTTTTGCTCTCATTGTAAAAGTGAACTCTTGTTGCTCAGTTGCGTTTGTGTCACCCTCACTATTTTGGGCTTAAATCTGGTTTCTCTGTTTGGTTAGTCCTTCTATGGGTCATTCTATGGGTCATATCTGGACAATAACACGTAAAACGGCAGGATCAGAGTCTTTCATTCAGGGGAAACTCACCTAAACATCCGTCTTGGCAACATGCCTCCATCCTCTGAAGTAATTCCAGATCTCTCCTATTGCTCAGTCAGGGGTCCCCAAAAGCCAGAAGTTTCACGTTACTTTGTGGATACTTATCATTACTACAAAAAATTATAAACATGTTTTAATGCAATTTTCATTAAAGCTGGGGCACCTGACTTTCAAACTATGATCAAATCCATGTGACTAGTTCCTCACTTTCAGAACTGTTGATCTATCACTAGTTTCATGATGTATGTTTAGCTTCAGCCACTTCTTAAGATCTTTTAGCAAGTTAAATGGAATAGCACAGTTCATAAACAAAGTACTGAAATCAAATAATCACAGTACATTGAAGGTACAGCCCTCAGTTGAACGCACAGTGAAATAGAAGCGCCTTTAACCTCGATTTGAACATTACCAGAGAAGAACTCTGTGTCACATTTTCAGGAGACTGTTCCAGGGGGCTCGGTGCTAAAGACGTTTCAGAACAGCTGAAATATTAGCATGAAACTATCAAAGTTTATTTTGAAATCTGTTTAAGGAAGTGGCTGCGATGAGCGAAGACGCAGCAGCAGCGTCAAGCAAACAAGTTACTTTTTTCTTTTTTCTTTACATATCTATTAATGTTTGACTCAGTATCGATGCGAGCTGCTGAATCTGCTGGATGTGGAGCAGGTTCTCCTCGCTCCGGACATTGTTTTATCTCTCCGCTGTTGTTTTTATGTTTTTATCAACCTCGGATTAGCTAAGTTTATGTTAGCTTACCGCAGTTACCACACAACACCAACCTCACACCACGAAGAAGGCAAGAAGAGCAACAAACTAGTTATTATCAGTGTTACATCTGTCATAGGAATATACCAGCTGATGTCTGTGTCAGTGGTGGTTGTGTGTTCATTATTACGTGTTCTTTGAAAGTGAGGCTAGCTAACTAAGCAGCTATCAAGGCTGCTGTGTTTCTCTGACCTGAAGACTGGAACTCGCAGCACGATGGAGCTCTCAATCGTCACGGTACGCTGACCACACCTATCTGGGCTGTCACAAGTTTCACCAGGTGCTTTTTTGTGTATTTTAGCCTCGGAGAAGGACAAGAAGCAGGCACTGATCAAGCTGCTGCGCTGACACCACTGCCCCATATGGCTCCAACCCCAGTTTGGATTTCTACATTCTCCACATTTGACCCAAAGCCCGTGTCAGGTTGAGACAGACCTGGACAGAGTCAGTATGAAGCCGCTGGGATCCAGGGTCGCCTTCTACGCCGGGTTTGTGTTGGGGACTTTCACCTTGTACGTGTTCTTACGGGAGGTGTGGTATGAGAGGCATTCTGTCGACTCAAGAAAATATGACCAAAATCACGATTATCAACTTCAAATGGAGCATGACAAAGTTTGGAAGAAGGACAGATCAGCACTGTTTAACCTGCAACACCCACACCACAAGGGTAAGGCTGTATTTTTTGTATTAATTTTTTACTGTCGGGTCAGTGTGTGTGTCTGTCTGCGGGTGTCCATATGAACTTGCGTGTATGTTTATACATATAATATATATATATATATATATATAAGTCCTGTGTAATTCAAGCCTCTCATTATAGACTTGTACTGGAGCTGGGTTGCCAGGTCCAAATGTGCTGCTGTAATATAGAAGACAGTATGTGATAATGCCACTTTAAATGCCTCTTCACTATGAGTCCATATAAACGTCTTAAACGTCTATACTCATCATATTTGGCCATTTCTGTTCCCTCAATGTATAATGATTCTGGAAGCGGGTGCAAAATAAGTTTGTACTGGTTCTTTTTGTATAGCACAGTTCATGCAGAAGACAACTTAAAGAGCTGAAAAAAACAAACTCCAGACTATCACTTTAATGTGTCCATTTTGTCAGAAAAAGAGACCTTTCTGATTGGTCTTAAAGCAGCGCCTACTTTTACGTGCACGTGCCAGGTCAATGGGCCAATACGTGCAGAGAGGTTATCAATTTAAATATTTGAATATTTAATCATAATTTATTAAACAGCTCCTCACAGCAGCAGTAGAATGCTCCATTGAATTGAATGTAATTTCAAAACGTCCTACCGATCATTATTTCTTGATAAGACTCTCAAACCAATAATGACCGCTGCCCATTGGCAACGCACTCTGGGCTTGTAATTCAGGTGTTTTAAAATACTAGGATTACTCAGTAGATTTCTATTTGGGTCACTCACTCGCTGATGTTCAGAATTTTTTGTTCACTTGTCATGTAGTTCCAGAGAGTTCTAGTTAGTTAGCTAGCCTAGCTGTTACCCGTCTAGCCACGTCATAGCGAAACCTTTGGGAACTAACTATTTTATATATATCATTTATAAATCATACATCATCATAAAAAAGATCATGCCCATTACAGCTTCTAATATTAAAGGCTGTCTAATATTTGTTAGAATATATAATAGATTGATTGCGATGATTGACAACCTTTGGCATCAGTTGATTGGTTAAAGTGGACGGCACCATTGATTTTGAGCTATAGCTAAAATAAGGGAAGGCGGCACTTACCCGTAATATTATAACTCCATCCATCAATTTTCTTCCCCTTAATCCATTTCTGGGTCGGTGGGTGACAGTCAGAGCTGCACCCATTACACATAGCACCAGCCCGTCAATGATCCTCCTGCAGGTGGTGAGTCCACTGGGGCAATTATAACTCTTAAATGACTTATTACTGTGCTCCTCACAGTTCCAGCAGGAGGCCAGTCCCCATGCTCCTCAGAGTTGGTTCATATGGCACTAACATGTCACAGGATGTACTTTGGTACGAGGCCATGGAGACTTGTAACAAAGACCTGAGACCAGGACTGATGCGGGAGGACTTCGCAACAGAGACCTGAGGCCAGAACTAATGCAGGAGGACGTCAGGCCAGAGACCTGATAGGACGTCAGGCCAGAGACCTGATACTTCCGGTTCTGGTCAGCCTGTTGTCACATGCTGTACCTTTTTTAAGAGTAATTGATGTGTGTTTACTGTCACAGCTGGAGTCACTCAGCAAGTTGTAAAATTTACCTCACATTTTCAGAAATGACTTCAGTACTTTCCTCTTTGTCGGACTGACAAAAAGGAAAATACTGAAGTTTCATTACATAGTGAAAGCTCCATAGAAAAGTCCTCATGGTGAAGTTTTGCTCATCTCTCTTAATCTCCCATGGACTTCCAATTAAACGTAAACTCCTAGTTTGTGTCACACTTATCATTTTGGGCTTAAATCTGTGCTTCTGGGTTCATGCTGTTCATATCAGCGTACTGTCTGTCTGACCAATCAAGCTTAAGCTAACGAGACTAGAGCTGAAACGATTTATCAAATTACTCGAATAATTCGATTATTAAAAGTAGTCCAGGAATTTAAGCTGCATCGATGCTTCGTATACGGTAGTTTATTTACGGCATTTTTCCTTGTTTGCTCCATAGACTTGTCTCACGTTTCGTACAGATTTTTTTTGTGTTGCGCAACATACACCATTTAATCGATCGGTGTATTCGATAGAATAATCGAGTACCAAAATATTCGATAGCTGCAGCTCTAAACGAGACGCATGAGCTGAGACAGACAATCGCTCATTCTTAGTAACTCTTGTCGCTATCAACAAAATGTGTGTAAATTTGGTTCCAATGGTTGGCTCTAATCTTCTTCCACATTTAGGCTAACACTATGGGACGTCCGCACTCGTCAGTCCCACAGTCTATGATTGTACACGGCCAATGGTGCTACAAATATCAAATATATAAAGTTCATTATGTCTTATGTTTGAGGCGTTCTGCTTCAGCACATGTTTGGCCTTTGCCAGAGGAGACTGATTAAGTAGATGGATCTGTCTCTTGACAGTATCACGCATGTGTCCCATTACCTTCCTGTAGTCACCAGGTCACAGTAATAAGATGTTGACTGTTGTGGTCTCATTTCACTTTTGCACAAATGTGTTGGAAAAGTGTTTAAGGATCAGGACGTTGCCACTGGTTGGAAACCACAAGATTACTTCCTTCTGTTAAAGCCTGAGGTGTGTCTCTCACCACACTGTTTTCAAACATGTGAAATATTTGTCAATTATCTAATGGAGACTTGGCCTTTGCAAACACGGATCTTACATAAGGATTCAAACTAGTCTCAATGCAAAAAAGTCATCATTAAGCAGATTTTTGAGATGCTTCAATTACTTATTTATCATTATAAGAGAAAAAACATGAAGCTGAGATCTAAAGTTTCTCGGACTTTGGACTGAGAACTTTATTAGAAAGTTATTTATTTATTTGAGCATCTGTTTAAACACGTAAAGCCTCGATAGAATGACTGTTTAGGAGCTGATGCTCAGGAGGAAAATTATAACATTTCATTCTCAATGTAGGCATAATAAATCCTGGCTTCCCTGACCATAATAAATGTGATATTTGAGGTGAGTCTTATTTTCCTCCATGTTTGTAATGTCCTAGATATGTGATTCATGTCCCTCATTATATTCAAAGTATCAAATCACAATACTGTCTGTATCGCAATATGTTAATAATCAAATGCTCACACTTTAGCCAGTTCCGAGTTGTACTTTTTTGAGGCATTTGTTCTTGTTCTGTGTTGTGACTAGTGAAGATGAGGTGAGTGTCTGTCTGTGACCCCTCTCTCTCCTCTGTTCCAGGCGAGGACAGCCTCATTGCAGATGAACTTTATAAAAAGGTGCGTATTTTGTGCTGGGTGATGACAGGACCAAACAACCTGGAGAAGAAGACCCGTCATGTGAAGGCCACGTGGACGCGTCACTGTAATATGGTGGTCTTCATGAGCTCTGTGGATGACCCAGACTTCCCCACAGTTGGCCTCGGCACCAAAGAAGGACGAGACCAGCTCTATTGGAAGACCATTCGCGCCTTCCAGTACGCCTACGAGCACCACCTCAGCGAAGCGGACTGGTTCCTGAAGGCGGATGACGACACTTATGTGATCGTGGATAACCTGAGATGGATGTTGGCCAATCACACGCCAGAGGAGCCCATATATTTTGGTCGCAGGTTCAAACCTTACACCAAACAGGGCTACATGAGTGGGGGGGCAGGCTATGTGCTCAGCAAAGAGGCGCTGAGGAGGTTTGTGGAGGGTTTCAAGAGCAAGACCTGCACTCACACCACCTCTGTGGAGGACCTGGCCATGGGGCAGTGCATGGAGAAGGTGGGGGTGCTGGCAGGAGACTCTCGTGACACAACGCTGAGGGAGACGTTTCACCCATTTGTGCCAGAACAGCATCTCACCATGAAGTTCCCCAAAAGCTTCTGGTACTGGAGCTACTGCTACTACCCCATCTCTGAGGTAAGAGACTCACAGACCTGTCCCTCTGTGACCTCAGCAGAAGATAAATGTTATGTCTCCCATGTTTCACACAGATCACATTCACTTTATCTGCAGTAAAACCACATTGGACACATGTCCAAGAGTCCCCAGTGTGCGCCAGCTAAATATATCAAATCAAATAAGATCAAGTACAAGTAACAATGGTCACAAAAATCAACAAAATAGTTTAAACTACGCATTGTAAAAATCTCACACTTTTATTTAAACAGTAGACCTTTAGACCAAAACCTACTTGGAGCCCAATCATAGACCTCTAGGACCAGAGAGTAACAGACCATAACAGGACGTCAATAGACCAGGCACTGAGGTCTAAGATCTGTCTGTAGACCTCTTACAGGGTTATAAGGGAACTATCCTTATTCAAACTGCATTGGATGCAGTTCCCACCTCAGCGATGTGTTTTCGTGTTGTAGATTATTAATAAATCAGTAAAATAAGTTTTCAAAATGAACCCCTCTAATTGGTCAGAAAATGTATGACGTAGGGGTAGAAGCTCCCACTTGTGTTTATGACATTGCTTCTGCTGTGACACAAAAAAGAACACGCATTTCCTTAAAATTGGTTTATTTTGTATGGCCCGGGATGCAGCAATGAAGCTTGCGAAAGAAGAGTGTAAACAGCAGTCCCTACGCCCTTTGACTTCAGCAAATACAGAGACGGAGACAGTCCCAACAAACTGAGGAAAGGACATAGGGCTGAAATCTATATCACAATATAAGTGATTCAGCAGATATCGATTATTATGGATTGGCGTTTTTTAAACCTAAATAAATAAATGTGTTGTGTCTAGTGCCCACTGCATAACCATGGCATTGAAACACGACGCAAACCATAGATCCATGGACGCAACGTATGGTTTTTTTTTCCCCCATTTCTCAGAATGTTTTGCGGTTCATGCTTGGCCGTGATGGGTCGATGCTCCTCATCTGAACTGTTGTCAGAGTCCTCAAAATCAAAATTACTGTCACAGAAAGTACGCAAGGGCTCAAAAAAAAAAGCCTTGTATTTTCCATCACTGAATAACAAACGGGGGGCGACAGTAGCTCAGTTGGTAGAGCATTGGCCTTAAGCCCAGAAGGTTGTGGGTTCAATTCCCACCTCTGCACCTTCTCCACCGACTCCCACTGATGACTGCTGTCGTTGTGTCCTTGGGCGAGACACTTAACCCCACTTTGCCCAAAGCCCCCACTGAAAGATCAAGGCTATGCTCACACTCAGAGAGCAGCCGTCCTCCTGTGGACTCACCACCTGCAGAGGGTCAGTGAGGGGCTGGTGCTATGAGACTTGGGTGGCATCTCTGACTGTCACCCCCCTGACCCAGAAATGGATTAAAGGGTAGAAAATGGATGGATGGATGAATAACAAACGTCCATATTGCAACGTTTTGGCTTACAAATAACATAGCTACAGAACCCAAAGACCCCTACGTCAATATACCAAAACATTTTAGAATATGTCCCTTTTAAGGCCCAGACCTAGGGGAGGTGATGAAGATCCCACAGACCTGTGAGGTTATGTAATGCAGGCATTGTCAGAGATTGTCTAAATTATCTCAGTGTGTTTGGAACCAGTTTAGAACCTTTCAGACCTTCATTACTGTCAGTTACTGTGGGGTCAGTTTGACCCGAGGGGAACACGAGGCTTGTGGCCAAGAGCTGTCTCGAAAGCAGTGGTTCCCAAAACGGAAACATTTTGGGAATCACGGCTCTGAAGTAACTTTAAAGTCTTACATGTTTCCTCAGGGTCCAAACTGCTGCTCGGACCTGTCCATCTCCTTCCATTACGTGGACGCGTCGCTCATGTATCTGATGGAGTATTACACTTATCACCTCCGTGCCTATGGATACCAGCACCGCTACCACCCCCCTGTCCCCCCCGCCCTCAGGGGGGTCCTGGACTTCCCTGATCCTCCAGACCCACCAGGCCACGTCACAGACCAGGACCCGAACCAGGACAAGGAGCCAGCGGTGAAAACAGAAGGACTAGGCCAAGGCCATTGACGACTGTGGCACAAACTGAAGGATTTTATGTTGTTTTAAATAATGTGACCCTTTTTTATCTGCGCTTCATAATCGGAGACTTTTTTTTATCAGGAGACAAACTAAAGACTAGATACAGACCACAGATAAATTCTGACCTAGTGTTTTAAACTCAATGTAACATAAACAAAGGCATATGTCCGTACATTATTAACAGGGGAAATCTGCTTTGGTTGAAAACAAACTTCAGGTAAATATCTGAAACGCTGACGCTTTAGATTGGGGTGTCCAAACTATTCTGCATATTAAACATGGACTCAGACCCATGGAGAGATGCTGTTCCTTCTTATTCAGTATTTTATCATCAATGACACGGTCCACAAGATAATGTGATCAACTGGTTTTAGCAGAAAAACTGTTTTTTAAAGAGTGCCTGGGCTGTAATTTGGACACTCCTTTGGAAGACCAAATAATAAATAAATGAATAAATAAATTCGCAAAGATAACACTACAAATTATGAGACTACAAGCACTCAAAACATGTGAGATCATTGCCATCTCTTGCATAGGGCCAGGGTGTTGTCACCTCAACTCAAACAGGCTGATCCAGAAACTAGTCTGCTCCTCTGTCTGTGAGCCTGCCTACCCCCGCCCGCATGGCGACTTAGCCTCACGCTGCCAGTTGTTTATCTCCGGTACATATTCATTTCAGAACTAAGAATAAACGTTTTCCAACAATGACAATCCCTCGCATCGAGCCCTATATCCTCGATCCAGAATCAGACCCTAATTATTTAGTTTACAGAAGTATACGGCGAGTTAGCATCTCTGCACTTACAGATCAAGGCTTTGCGTAAGCGTCTTTTATCGTGGGAATAACACTGGTTTCCAGATCAGTTTTTGAGTAGGTCTAGTTTCATGGTATGGTTCTGGAACAGTCTTAGTAAAGTGGCGCAGATGAACAGATTCATTCAAACAGGCAGATTCCCGTGAAAAAAGTTGTCACATTCTTCCTCTTCGGGCCAAATAGCGGCCACATATTTACACCAAAGTTGACATGATCCTAACACCTTAAGTCGCTGACAAAAGCAGAAAAACAGTATAGCTCCAGGTGCTCTCCGCTGGACTCGGGAGCTGGCTGCGCGCGCTTATCGGTTGTTTCGATTTGTCAATCACCTGGATTTTAGTATTGTTTTCCCTGTTTTGATGACAGAAAAAATCAGCTACATTCACAAAATATGAGGAAACAGAATTACTGAACTGTTTTAACAATTTCTTTTAACACTGTATTTAGTTAGAGCGCCCCCTGGAGCAGGAAAGACACAGCTGTTGGAGGACTGAGGCTATAGTGAGATTGTGACCAAACTTTCACCTCAAGTTTGCAAATCTGGCCACAATCTCAGATGTTCCCTTAACACGGATTAAATATGAGAAGATTAGGACTATGAATCGCTTTCTTCAGAGACCACAGAGAGAACACAGAAAACACACAGAACACGTATGAAGCCAGGGCAAAAACTGCAGGATAGAAAATGGGTCCAGGACTAATGTTTTTTTTAATCACTTTGCTTTTTTATCTCAATGTGGTTTGAGACCTCAGGCTGCAACCAACCTAACCCTTAAAGCTGCGGTACCTAACTTTAGTGTCTAGAGATGGCACCTGTGTTTGTCCCACAGAGAGAAAAATGCTGTGAACTGTCTCCATCTTATTAGAAAACATGACACTCCTGCACTCTAGTAAGAAAGAGCCCGTGAGTCACTTTTTGACTCTTTGGGCTGAGAGTCCTCTCTGAAAAAGCTGTTCTCAAGATGGAACACAACTCGTGATGGAATTGTGTTATAGCCAAGATCCAGAGACATTTATTATAATTCCATTGTGTGGGTTGAAAGTTACACACCCCAGCTTTAATTCCACTGTGTTCAATGGAAAATTTAAACTCTGTGTTTCACATTAGCTGTTTTGGTTGCTCTGTTTTGCCTTGTGGGATGTGTTTTTTAATGTTTCATTGTTTTATTCACTGAAACCTTGGTGCTTGGTCCTGATCCTCACCATGAGTGTGACATCACCACAGTGTGACATCACCTTGATGGAGCAGAAGCTGATTTGAACAAATGCTGGAGCCAGTTTTCTTATATGGGCATTTGTTCTGACGCCGTTTGCTTAGCGCTGTAACAGGAGCAGACGTGTTGCTAAGATGGTTGCTAAGGCATGCAAATTAAGGCCTCTGCTGGGTCAGGGTTATGCAAATTTGAACAAAGAAAACAAAGATTATTTCCCATAGACCTAGGACAAAGTACCAAGATTTTAGTGAGCTCTGCACACATTTGCAATACTTTTATAATGTGTATAATTATTATTTGCATTATGAACAAAAGCAATGTTTTTAAAGCATGAAATATTGTATTGGAGAAGATGCTTGGAGATGTTCATGTACTTTTTTTTTAGTCCAAGTTTATTGTTTTCACCACGTTTGTCCATGGAGGAAGTGAGGACACTCTTCCTGTCTCTACTTCTGGCTTCCTGTCATGTGACTGAGCTTGTGCCTTGACCACGGTGACGCTGCACATACGACTTTGCACTGTGATGTTTGTTTGAACTGTTGCCTTTTGAGGGAATCTTTTCTGGCGTGTATTTGAGATAGGAATATCAGAGGTGTGTGTTTGACCAAAATGTGTTTCTGGTATAATGTGAGCATTAACTTTACCTTATTGTTGTAACCAAACAATCATAATCATTCACTTTGATCATCTTTCAAATGAAACATCACCCTGGTATCAGTTCTCTCTCTCTCCTAACCTTCTGTAGGTTTATGTTCTGATTATTACCTAGTTTGGGGAAATGGCAATTACATGTTATAGTTTACTTTTGGTGGAAAAACTTTTTAACTTTGGTTCAACACATGGGAGCCCAGGGTTTAAAGTCATTTGAAACTTATATTTAATGGATCTACATATAAGGAAAGTCCTCAAATAGTTTGCCAACATCTGTCACTGAGACTATGATACGTTTTATATTTTACATGTTTCCAGAAGATGCACGTACACACGTCACTGATTCTAACCTGAGCTGGTTTCACTTGAGTGATGATAATTGAGCCACATTTGTAAATGTTTGTGGATATTTGAAAAAAACCAAAATCATTCGACTTGTGCATTTTGAGTGATCGAATTATACTCCGTTTTTGAGAATTGGTGTAGAATAACATTATAATTCACTCCAGTTTGGACAATTCTTAATGTGTTTTTTTTTTTTTTATTGACACGAGAATTAAACCTAAACATTGAATATTTGAAATATTTTAACCTTAATCTGAGTATGATTTCTTCCCAAGTTCACCCTGACTCATTTTGTTTTAATACATTTCAGTGTTTGTTTGTGTTGATGGGAGACAGGGGGAGCTAAACTCGTTCTTGTCACAAACGCTTTAGAACAGGTCCATTCAACTCGTGGCCCAGGAGCTGAACACGGTCCTGTCAATGCTCCACTCTGGCCCTCACATACGGAGAATTGTTGCTTGTTCGTGTACCTTTTTTCAGTCACTTTAGCATAATTATTTGGTTCATATTTCTGGATTGAAGTGAATGTCAGTTACTTTTTAACTTAGTAAAACAACTTTAAAACGGGAACTGGTTAGACCCGCACACGCTCACCACCGCAACCTACTGATTGGTCAGAATGAATTCAAATCCTTGAGACCCCTTGTCATTGTTTATCTGCTGTTCTCCAGCAGATCTTACCACAGCTTTAATGTTTAGATTTATAAAATCTCCTTTTAGAGCGGACTGAAAAGTGGGCGGGACTTCACAGCTGCATGTCAAATCCAAAAACCTGGACCAGCTTGCATCATACATACTCTAACTGATCTGTTTGCAGAGTGACAGCAGTGTAACTTTTGATTAAAGTGTTTGAGTTCAGTCGGAGACGATCTCTAAAGAGAAAGTGTACAGCGTGTTTCTGAATGTATCTGTTTCTTTGTACAGACGCCTTGAACAGCGCTTTGAAGTGAACGGTACTTTAATCACTATAAATAAATATTTTTATTGTACGTCTGTTTTTTGTGAGTTCTTTACCATTACATTTATTTAAAACTGCGACTTTTTTAGCAATACGGCTAATGTTTGGTCCCACTCTAAGTAACAGATAATTAAGTGATGATTAGTGTATACTTTATGATTATTTAGCTCCTAATTGGTATTTCGTAAGCACTTACTAGACCTTATTCTAAATGATCTTATTCAACATCCAACACTTTCACTGTGATTATGGTTAGGGTACACTGATTAGCCCTCACTAATTAGTAGCTGATGAAGTGCTAATCTCAGGCCCTGTTTATACTGAGATGCTGCGCAGACGTTTCCAGGCTATTGACAGAAACGACCAGGCTCCTAATGCAAATTTCTCAGCATTCACATGTGTAATACTCTGTGATAGAATATGCTGTGAGACATAGGGCACTGTCCGGTTTCCGAAATGTGCTAAAAATAGCTCAGATGACTGCGCATGCGCGCATGTTTCGGACAAACATTGTGTACGACTCGTTGAGTTCTACTGTGTTCTCCACATACGCGTGTGTATTTATTTGGGCTAAATCATTGAATCATGGTGACAACAAAACACTGCAGTTATGGTGCTTGTCGGAGCGATTTCAGATACTCTGAAAAGGACTATATGAAAGTAACATTCAACCCGTTCGTTAAACCACAACATCGGACCAGACCAGGACCAGACCAGGACCAGATCAGACCAGGTGGGTGCTTGTGGTCGGCAGAATTTCTCTCATGAAAAGGTTAAAAAGGGCACATGTTTTTTCAAAACACTTCGCTGGACCAACTGTGGAGCATCCAGATCCAGTCCTAGCTACGTTTAGCTGGGACTGGATCTGGACCGCTGTATCAGGTCCGTCTGAGCTCTTCTGAATGTAGTTAGCACAAACTTTCTCTTTACACCATTTACCCCCATCAATCCATATTAGTATTGTTTGTCCTAATCCAGAAAGTATACAATTCTCACACCTGAAGAA